GCTGTGAAGTTAACGCACTGTTAAAGCACATTAAATCTCTGTGTGGACGCTCTCATTCAAAAGTGAGGTGGCTTTAGTTTGCTGTAGCTTAATCCTTCAAAGGGGTAAATAGATTCATTTTAACAATCCTGAGAGTCCTCATGTAGACAAGCCTTTTCTAGGCAGTTTAGACATTGTGCAGTGAATACAACGGGGGTCCACTCATTGGACAGAGGGAAGCCCTCACTCCTGCAATGAGCTTTACTGCAGGCACATCTCTGTGCCAATACAAAGCCCCACTGAAGTCAGAGGGGTCCACAGATGCAGATATAATTGCAGCACTGGTCACTTAAATAGCTCAGTTGCCTCATTCATGGCACACCATCCAGGTGTGCATGGAGACAGATGATATCCATGGGTTCAACAAACATCATCAGATCAACATTATCAAAATAGATATGGTATTGAAAGTAGTAATGTGATTTTCAGAGGTCTCATTAACTTCATTTCAGAGTAGACAACCCCATGGGACTGCAGAGACTGATTTACAAAAGAGGCTCAGAAAATCACACTCTGCAAGACTGACATAAGTTACCCTGCAATGAACATTCACCAGCAATGGATGTAAGCCGGTATTTACTCTCCTAAATGAAAGCTGTTTTACACTGTAATATTACATGGCTTGAACAAAAAGAGAAATGTACAATATAATGTTGAGAGTATCAAGCCTCTGCAAAGATTTAAAGCTCAGCTCTTGCTACTCAAAGCAACGTTCAGCGTTTTGCTTTGGAAATATTTCTCTTGGGCCTCACAGTTCATCTGATGTTCCTAAAATAATGTGGGGGATGGTGTGGGGGAGGACCAGGGGATGGTGTGTGGGGAAGAATGCTTTACTTGGTATTTGATTAAAATCACTTTGTTCACAGGTGTTTTCAAAAATTAATTAAGGCAAAATTAAAGATTTTCTGTCTCATTAATTTTTCCATAGCCCTCTGTCTTCTTAATGCAAATGAATTTATATCCTGTTTGCCCAATGGTACTACTGTACTTGCTTATCAGTTTCCTTGCGGTTTTGCTATGGTAACCAGCTTCAGTCCCAGGAGGAAGGAGATGATGTAGATATTAAAACTGGTTCCCTCAGCTCCATGGCCCGAAAACAGAAAACATATTATTGGCAGTTATTTCAGGCAATTTATGCTTCTAAAAATGTTCTTAAGAGGCGCTGGGAAAATGTAGATTTCTATTTTGGGGTTGGAGTCTCTCTCCCCTGCCCATTAAAACATTAGCCCATGAGGTCTACCCATAGCTCTCTGATTTTGGTGAAGGCTGTTTCACTTATTTATTATTTGTATCTATCTAAGATACCTATTTGGCCCCCCTTACCAGAGTGCTTGGGCACCTGATAATTAATGTATTTATTCTCACATTACCACTGCGAGGTAGAGAAGTGCTACCATTCCCATTTTACTCAGGCACAGAGAGATCCAGGGAAAGAGTTTAAAAGTATTTCAACACTTAAAGATGCAGACAGGCTCCGAGAGGGATTTTCAACACTGCCTAGGCACTTAACTCCCATCAAAATTGATTCATTTTTCATTGCTTGGAAAATAAAAATATACTAGGCAGTTTCTAGTCACTTTCACTTAGGTTCTCATACACTAGCAAAATGCTGTATTGTTTGTATTGAAAATAATGCAGAAAATTATGTTTGAAATATTGTTTCCTTGGGGATTTAAGAAAAATACACTGATGGCAATTTTTCTGTTTTGTTTGTTTTAGATGTTATGAAAGCTTGTTAACACAAAATAAACATTGGAAGAAAAATTTAAAACAATGGCATCTCTTTAAAAATCAGAGAAATGTAGGCCTG